GGCAGTACGCTCTCAGGTACGGGGATCGACAGAGGCACTGGAAGCAGAGGTCTCCTCCCTGCTGAGTCGAGGCGCAGCAGTGGAGGTAGACCCGCAGGACGCCACCAGGGGGCTGTACTCCCCTTACTTTCTGGTGCCAAAGAAATCAGGCGGGGTGCGTCCCATTCTGGATCTGCGCGTGTTAAACGAGTGCATTTCCAAACGGCAGTTTCGGATGCTGTCCACAAGGCAGCTCCTCGAGTGTGTCAGGGAAGGAGACTGGATGACATCCATAGACCTGACAGACGCATACTTCCACGTACCCATAGTGCCAGAACACAGGAGATTTCTGCACTTCGCAGTGGGAGAGAGGAATTACGAGTACTGCCGTCTCCCTTTCGGGTACGCTCTCGCGCCTCGCACTTTTTCCAAATGTGTGGAAGCGGCTCTGGAGCCGATCAGACGTGCCGGGGTAAGAATATTGACCTATATAGACGATTGGTTAATACTGGCCCCATCCAGGGAAGTGGCCGTGAGCCACACGCAATGGGTCTTGTCCCACATACAGCGTCTGGGCTTTGTGGTGAACAGGGAGAAGAGCAAGCTGCAGCCAGCCCAACGCATGATTTACCTCGGTCTGCAGCTAGACTCTGTGATATTCCGTGCTGCATTGTCCGTGGACAGACGGACGAATATTACCCGTCTGGCCCGGGAGGTTCTGGCGGGCCCCAGAGTTCCCGCTCGGCGCCTCAGGTCCCTGCTGGGGATGATGGCAGCGGCTCATGCTGTGGTGCGGCTAGGCCTGCTCCACATGAGAAATTTTCAGAGGTGGTTCTCGCGCCTCAGGCTTCACCCCTCCCGGGACGGGGGGAGGCTGATCTGGGTTCCCCAAGGGGCAGCATCGGACATCAGGTTCTGGCTCACTCCGGGTCTACTGCGGGACGGAGTGACTCTGGCCTGCGCGGTGTCTCACGCCGAGGTGTTCACGGACGCGTCGCTCGAAGGATGGGGCGGGGTCCTCGGCCAGAGCTCTGTAGGAGGCTGCTGGTCGGACTCAGCCCGTCACATCAACCTGCTGGAGATGGAGGCAGTGCACAGAGTACTGCTGCACTTTGCCCCTCAGCTGCAGGGGAGACACGTGATGGTGCGCTCAGACAACACCACAGTGGTCTCCTATCTGAACAGGCAGGGGGGCACCAGGTCCCCCGCTCTCCATCGCATGGCGACGGTGACGCTGCTGTGGGCGGCGCTTCACCTCCTGTCTCTCAGGGCGCGCCACGTCCCGGGGGTCCGGAACGTGGGAGCCGACAGGATGTCCAGGGGGGGCCCACTCCAGGACGAGTGGGGCCTGGCCCCACGGGTAGCCGCGGAGATCTGGCGGAGGTTCGGTCGTCCAGTAGTCGACCTTTTCGCCAGTGCAGAGAACGCACAGTGCCCGTCCTGGTTCGCCTTAAGGGCCGCGGACGAGCCGCCTTTAGGCGTGGACGCTCTGGCTCATTACCCATGGCCAGGCGGCCTGTTGTACGCTTTTCCACCGGTGCGTCTCCTGCCGGTCCTACTGCGGAGGATCGAACAGGAGAGGAGGTCGGTGATTCTGGTGGCTCCGGACAGCCCGCATGCCCGGTGGTTCCCCTTCCTGAGGGGCATGGCGGTGATGGAGCCCTGGGCCCTCCCGGACGAGCCGGGGGCTCTAGTCCAGGGGGCAGGAGCCCTGTTTTCACGTCCGATAATCGGCCGCAGGCTCTGGGTTTGGAGGTTGAGAGGCGGAGCCTCGTAGATCTGGGTCTTCCCCCTGCGGTGGTGGAGACAATTCAGGGAGCGAGGGCGCCGTCCACCGTGAGGGCCTACGCCACGAGGTGGAGGCTATTCAGTGCCTGGTGCGATTCCCGTTCCTGGGATCCCAGGTTTTGCCCGCTGGAGGGGGTCCTGGGATTCCTACAGGAGCTTTTCGACAAGGGGAGGGCTGTCGCTACCTTGGCGGTGTTTGCGGCAGCCATTACTTCAGGTCACGACGGGTTCGGGGGGTTCACAGCCCGCTCTCACCCGTTGATTAAACGTTTTCTGCGGGGGGCGCGCAGGAGGAGGCCCCCGCTCCAGAGAACGCCTCCGGTTTGGGACTTCAGGGTGGTCCTTAGGGGGCTGTCGGGTTCGCCTTTTGAACCGGCGGCGGAGGCGAGTCCCGATTGTATCGCTTTTAAGATGGCCCTCTTGTTGGCGTTGGCGTCTGCAAAAAGGGCGGGCGATTTGTGTGCGCTCTCAGTCCATGCGTCGTGCCTGTCCTTTGGAGAGGACGACGGCATGGTGGAGTTGTGGCCCAATCCGGCTTTTCTCCCCAAGGTCATCACGTCGGCCTTTAGGTCGAGAGTGATCAGGATTAGGGCTTTCCACCCGCCGCCGCATGCCTCCCCCGAGGAGGAGCGGCAGCACCTTCTGTGTCCTATCAGAATGCTGAGGCATTACCTGGCCATGACGTCGTCATTCAGGTCGGGTGATCAGCTGTTTGTGTGTCTGGGCCCCAAGAACAGGGGCGCCCCGCTGTCGGCTCAGCGGCTGGCGCATTGGGTCGCCACGGCGGTGCGACGGGCGTATCAGGCGCAGGGCCTGGCCCCCCCGGTGGGTTTCAGGTCGCATTCCACGCGTGGGATGGCGGCCTCTACGGCCCTTCTCAGGGGGGCGTCGGTCGAGGACGTTTGCCGTGCGGCTTCTTGGGCGTCGTCCTCCTCTTTCGTCCGGTCTTATCTTTCGGATGTGTCGGACCGGTCGGTGGCCCATTCCGTGCTGAGTGCAGCGGATTGAGTTGGACCGTTGGGTCCCTCCCCTGAGGAGTGGGCCTTCGGTCTATTTTTCCGCCCTGGTGCAGGAGCTCTTGGGAGAGGCATCCTACAGGTGCGGTACATATATGTGTGTTTGATCGGTCTGGTAGTCTGCATCAGGAGCTCTTGGGAGAGGCGTCCTGTGACTACGGTTGACCTACGATTGGTGTTACGTGGGGGCGTCCTTGGTAGGAGTGGCCCGGTAACACGCTTTGTTTCTTCTGCCCTGAGTCCTCTCACGGTGTGAGGGTCTTGCTCGGGCGGAGCTCCAATCACCCTTCGCTGGCCTGCTGGGAGTACATGTTCCTACGGCCTCCGCGTTGTGTCCCACTAGCGAAGTCCTAAGGGACGTAGCACCATGACGTAGAATTAATAGTTACCTAATGTAACTTAAGTTCTACGAATAGGTGCGTAGTCCCTTAGCTACGAGCCCATCAGGCCAGCCCGGCTTGGCAGAGTTCAAGAGGGGGTGCGGCCTTGTGCAGGGGCATTTATAGAGGAAGGTGGCTGGTGATTGGAGCAAATTATTTTGATCTCTCTGGCGTCTGTGACCTGGGGGTCACGTGATATCCCACTAGCGAAGTCCTAAGGGACTACGCACCTATTCGTAGAACTTAAGTTACATTAGGTAACTATTAATTACAAAGCGGCCGCAGCTGCCCCGGCCGCGGAGGAGGCGAGATCCTGTTCGAGTTCATACAGCAAACAACAGCAGGTGCCCCGCGGTCACGCGCGCCTCCCTTGAACATTTCTCAATGGATTTATACATTTTGCAATATTTGTATTGTTTGACAGCACTAAATATATATTTTTTATAAATATACAAATTTATGTTCTTTATTTTTGTGTTTGCGTCTTTCGGACACATGTGGCTTGTTCGTCATGCAAACTGGTTGTTGTTAAACTGATAATATGATGAACTTCGGTGTACTCGCTTCTCCAGTCACTGCGGTTTGAGCTGAAATCCATTTACGCGTTTGTCTTAATGTGCTAATGAAATGGCCCGTTCTGAGACTATGTTATGCAAACTGTAACTGACAGACTTTTTGTCAGGTCGCCAACCCCTAGTTTTATATAATTACTAAAAAGCAAGACAGGAGCATGCACTATAAGGCTACATCCCCATAAAAATAAAAGGTCTTAGTCCAAGAAACAATTGCATTTCTCCCATAGCAATTTCATCAGACGCAGCCAAACTCAAACAAAGCTGAGACACAGCTCAGACACTTCTGGACTTTGATTTATTAGTTTATTTGGTGTTGTGTAATAAGATCAATTGTTCCAAACGTTGTCTCGCACCTTATTAAGGAGTATCAAGACCTGTAGTATTTGCTGCAGTGTCTGTGCAAAGTCTGACCTGCTACAAAGACATGACGTTTCCACTGAGCAAAACTGCGAAACCTAACCTTTTTAGGCTTCTCTTTTGGATCCTTTTTATGGGTTATGGGAACTGTTCTTTGAGTTATTTTACATCATTTAGCACGGTATATATCTATTAAATGTTCAAGTCTGTTGTTTTCATCTTTTATTCCTGTTTATCTAATACCACCACCAAAAACTTACCCATGGTATGCATTTCTACAGTGCAGTGTATACGGCTAACTAACTCATCTTGCAGGTTAATTTAGGGCCCATTGCAGAGCATATTTTTTGAATATGTCCCAACAAATTGACACACACTTTTGGTACAAATACAATAAGCCATAGGCCACTATGGCTCAATTATTGTATTTTGCACTTTCTCTGCATCAATGCTGAGCCCTTCTGTACAATAATGTTTCAATATCCTGTGTGAGGCAGCTTACTGTAGATAAAGACTGCCGACGCGAGGTAATGTAAAATAAGATAAAGATACAGTCGACACAGCGGGTGCCATCTGTTATTAATTTTAGTTTAAACAGCATCCGCGCAATCGATCAATATCTCGCTCCATTTGTGCCACTCCGTGCGTCACTGAGAGCTGTGCTGAGGCAGAGTGCGCTCTCCACCGCATTCAACAGGCGCCCGAGGACTCTCCTGCTGCAAGTCACTGGCTTAGAAACTGAAGTGAGCAGAGCAGTTCAGTGATGACAAGGATTTAGAGAAGATGCTCCTTTCTGGCTGCACTTTACGCGCGTCGAATACTTGAATACAACTCCCTGCGCCAAAGACTCACTACTTTATTTAAACAAATTTTAGTTGTGTGTTTTTTCAGAAAGGACCAACAGGATGGAGGCATCACAAAATGACTCAAACGCCACAATCAACTACACTAACAAGTTCGCGCAGCCCCCGTGGCGTGTGGCACTGTGGTCCATCGCCTACAGCTCGGTCCTGGCTGTGGCGGTGTTTGGGAACCTGATCGTCATCTGGATAATCCTTGCGCACAAACGCATGAGAACGGTCACCAACTATTTTCTCCTTAACCTGGCCTTTTCTGACGCGTCGATGGCTGCGTTCAACACGCTTATAAACTTTATTTATGCCTCGCATGGCGTGTGGTACTTTGGAGAGGCATATTGCAAGTTCCACAACTTTTTCCCTGTTACATCTGTCTTCGCCAGCATCTACTCCATGACGGCAATCGCAGTGGACAGGTGAGCGGACTTTTGGATTAATAGCCTGTAGACTGGCAGCATCATGGATTTACAAACGGTATTCATTTAGGTTTGCACTTTATGTTACTGAAATGTGGTCTTGTTGAAAAAATCCTTGACCGGTGCCTGTGCCACGAAAATATGAGACCCATTTGAGGTTACGATGATCAAAGAGACAGTGACATCCGCTCTGACAGGGTGCGGAGCTGTACTGCATGTAAAATATCCTGTGCTCCAAACGCTTTCATCTCAAGTGCTTCATGCATGATTCTAAGAGGACGAAAATCCGATATTGTGTGTGGGTGTGTGCGTGCGTGCGTGCCAGTGCTTGTGTTTGAGTGTGTGTGTGTGTGTGTTTGTGTGTGCGTGCGTGCCAGTGCCTGTGTATGAGTGTGTGTGTGTGTGTGTGTGTGTGCGTGCTGATGGTTGGGGGGGCTCTAATGCCATTTCTTTGTTATCCTCCAGCTTCAATTCCTGGAAAGTCCTTTCACTTATGGTGGACGAAAAGCGGGCTCTATATGCGTTGAAATTCGAGCCTGTGGGTCAATGACAATAGACCACTAGTGAGATAGCTGCTGATTGAAATTTCTGTAATGAAGACGGCAGGCATGTGCCTCATATAGGTGCCTGAGACAGATTTGGAGTAAAAGTATCAAAAATCCGAACTGGTATCAAAACTATACTAATTTGAACAAGTATGATGCTCAATAGAACATTTGACAGTTTATTTTCCAAAAATACTGCGGTATTGACATTGGTATTGTGCATTGTTTTCATTGTTAACATTTTAGTTAAAGTTTTAGTATTATGACAAAAATAATAGGTAGGCTTGAGTGCCCCTTGTTTTATTGAAAATGATAAGGTTAGTGTTTAGGCTTTATAAATGAATGTTGATTGAAAGCTGAATGGAAGTTTCGCATCAACTGTTTTCCCCTCTGCACCCCTCAGCCAGCACAGGGCACTCCTGTTGTTAAGGAAAAAACAAATCATTCTCAGACCCCAGGGGGTCATTTTGGTACTGGCCACACATTTCTTAGGCTTCACTGTGTTACTAACATTTTTAATATTCATGCTGGATATATATACATATATATAAATATATATATATATTTTTAACCCACTGTAAAATGATGCATGAAGTAAAGCTTAATTCATACTCCCTTTACATTTATACTTAAACAGTGCATAATATTCCCGAGTGTTTCAAACGGGAACATGGCCTCCATCCGTCTAAGAGTATAAAAGAGCCTTAATAATAATACTTGCAATACCCTCTGTAATTCCCGCACGTACAACGCAGATTAAAAAGCCCTCTTTTGTCTCTCCTTCTTGCTTTCCCTGTGTTGACATCTTCATTGTGTGTTTCTCTCACAACTATTCACTCTTCACTCTCTTTTCAATGGGAAGGTCAAGGAAAGATTCATCCCGACTGGTACATGACGGATACTATAGCTTCAAAAGGACGTATAGAGCTTTTAATCGTGTTATGTGTCACATATTTGATGTTAAAATGCAAACGTTCTCACATAAGTTATGCTGTAGTGTTCAGAAATTGGCGCTTCAGTGTTCACTCATACTTTAGTCTTCATTACCGACTCCAGGTCAAGCATGCTGGTTCAAAACCATCATTGTCGTTATTTATCCAGTGTTACATTTGATTGTTAGAGTCAATTTCATTTTTCATTAAACATCCTTTTGTTTTGAGTTTTCTACTCAATCAATAATGTTTGCAACAATAAAATGCTGCAGAAGATGAACAGTATAGTCAAAATCAAATTGCAATCAAAGGTTTTTTGTAAAAGTTTTTCCTGATTAATTCTTTCAGACATAAATAAACAAATACATGCAACATGTAAAAAGAGATTGGCAAAAATGTGAATATGATCTGCAGTTTTGGGGAGGAAACTCATTTACATTTAAGCAACATAGCGTGGCATGTGTATAGAATGTACAGTAGTATCTTATGCACGTACTGATCGCTCACGTCGCATTTCTGTTAGTGGTCTAAACTTCTGTACACATGAACCTTCTAACAGTTTTAATACATGTATACTAGAGCCGCATGCCTGTGGAAGTACCGTGGAAAAATACAAAACAAACGCAAACGGAAACATTTCCAGGAGACATTTAAAGCTTTTATTTCCCTCTCAAAAGCGTGCTTGATGTGCTGCATTTCACCAATCCAAAAGATCGAGCAGGCTTTTGCATTTGTAATATGTCTTACTAAATTGTCTCTGTGAAATGTAACTGCTCTCTGCTGTTTCTAACTATTTATCAACATGGCGCCTATACATGGTCATGGCAAGAGCTCTGTGAAGGATCATGGGTACCCCAGTGCACACTGGTGTGGGGTTATACTGCAAATGGCAAATGATTCTGATTCTGGAAAGATGAGGGTCTCAATGTGTTGGAACTATTGGTCTGGACACTTTATGTAACTTCTCATCTCTGTCTAATGCTCTTCATCACTGGTGCAATGTCATAACGTTCATCTGAAGGGATTACAGCCGCTCATGATGGAATACACACACAAACACACAAACATACACACCTACACACACACACTTACGCACACTTACACAAATACGTGTACGCACACACACACCTACACAAACACAGGTACGTGCGCACACACACAAACACACACACACCTACACCAACACAGGTACGCGCGCACACTCACACACACACTCGCACACACACTCGCACACACACACCAGTATTTTTGACATGTGTTTTGGGATGCATTCTTACAGTCATACTCGTCACTAGCAGGACAGACATGTTTCATGTAGCTCACAATAATGAGAGGAGAGTTACACAACAGTACAACTGCGCATGCTGCACAGTGTCATGAGTGTTTCACTGAAAAGACCACAATGTAACGGGGCCAACAAGGACCTACACCTTCAGCTAAAATGAGGCCCCTTTCATACCAACCTTTTGAGATGGAAGTGATGTCCTGCTTGTTTCTGCTCGGCAGACTGGCCATTTATTTTATAGCTGTTGTATTATACTTTATAACAATTCAATTTCCCTACAGGGACAATGAAGTACCATACTCTCACTATTCCAATGTTTCACCAGTGGCTCAACTGATTATTTTGTGTACCATGTGCTCCTGATGAACCTGTGGAACATAAAAATCCACAGGTGTTTCACTTTTCCTTCTGGTAGGAATCAGTGTTGTGGGAAAAATGTTTTGATTTATTGTCCAAGAGGCTTGGACTGAGACTGGACCTCTGAACCAGCACCAGCCTCTGAACCAGCACCAGCCTCGGACCTGACGAAGACCAATAGACCTACACTGGACCTCACCATCTAAAAGACACAAACACATTTTCTCCATATTCCTGTGGACACACCACCTGCAGGAGGATCTGTGAGGGACTGGTGCTATGAGACTTGGGTGGCAGCTCTGATTGCCACCCCCCGACCCAAAAATGGAATAATAAACGGGTATAAAATGACATGACATGACATTTTCTCCACATAAAGTCTTGTTACACTTGTCACATGGTTGCATTTCTGATCAGTGCTCTTCCTGTTGGGCTTGTTATTTTAGGTCAGTGGGGGCGGGTCCCGGCTCAAAAGTGGCCAAAATGACATATAATTGGCAATACCACTCGGGGCCAATGGGGGTGGACCTGGAATAATAATTATTCAATGCTAACATATAGCATCTCTCGAAAACGTCTTTACAGGATGGTCCAAAAGTTGGCTCTCGGCCCAAAGCTCCGTTCCACATGTGTGTCAATGCTGAGGGGGGTGAATTTTTTTGGAGCAGTCTAGTTTACTCGCTGTGAATTTTTGGCACTCGTTAAATGAATGGGGCTCGTGCCGGCTGACGCATGTGCAGATGCGTTTTTTCACATTTTAGTTAGAACGGCGGAGATAGGCGTGACTACGTCTGTTAATATTTACAGTCTATGGTTTAGGTAGAGAACCATTTATTGGTAGAATTCAGAAGAATGGATTGAACTTACCAATACACTCTAATCACAGCATATACAATTATATGGAGATTTATTAACTGTTGTCTCAGATAAATGTGTAAGCTCTTTAAAAAAAAAAAAAAAATTCAAACTCCTCCGCAATTTTCCTGATGAAGGTCTCAGGACCGAAACGTTACATTTTCCAATCATTTTTTATTTTCTCAAGGACAGCAGTGTGTGGGAACCATTATTTTTATACTAAACAAATAAAATAACAAAAAACAAATCATGGATTATTTATCTTTTCACATCACTTCTTTGGTCTTTAAGATAAATATTTTCTATGGTTGTGTGTTTGTGAATATTACTCTGGTCCCAAGGCTACAATTTGGAGAGATAAACAATGAACATGAAAAAGTACAGATTCAAGATTCAATCATTTGTCACTGTTATAATCAGATCATCATTGGAACGTCAGCCTATATTTGAAAGTGCAAAAGTATGTAGAATGTAAACAAACAGGGGGTCAGTGAGTCAGGTATTTAGTAATGTATACATTGTAACCATTGTTTTACTGTAAAACTCTTAAACCACTATAGATATTATCAGCAGTAACAATCTGTATCAGTGAGAGATCACAGTGTGATAGAGATAGGAGAGAAAAGGATGGGTCCTGGGGGGTGAAGAGGGAGCAGTGTTTCTTGAGAAGTCTGACAGCCCGTGGATAGTAGCAGTCTCTGATGATATTGAGAGTCCGAAGCAGGCAGCACAAGGTGTGCACACTGGAGATCTCTGACATGTTATATGCCAAGAACAGCATATAACGAGCTGCGATAAAGACCACTTGCAACAGAATGGATTCCTCTTTTTTATGCGTCAACATTACTTATCACAACGAGGATCATATACGAAAGAGTGTCATACAGTAGAATGAGGGCCTTTAATGTATGTGCTGCATCTCTGCATTATGCATACATTATGTGTAGTGAGTCTAAATTGGGGTCAGACGACCATATAGACAAAATTCTTGCTTCCTCAAAGACAAGGACTCCACATCATCCTCAA